ATGTAATCACCACACAAAGAACTGTGCTTTCCTCAAAGGTTGAGGCTGAGAGCCTGTCATGTAAGATAAATCGCCTTATAAGAAAATCCTTTTAGATGGACAATTAAGATGATTCTTCCCTATTTCATTCCCCACCCTTTCTCCCTTCCTTTCTCTCTCTCCCATATTGAATGAGACCATACAATTCTGGAAATAAATATAAATAAAGTGAACCACATCTTTATCTATCACTCTGGTCCTCAGCATAAATGCCCTAGTTTGATATAGGTGTGGCTCTTTATTTTTTTGTTCTAGCACAATTGTGATTCATTCAATTTTTCATCAGGTCATAAATAGCTTGTCTTATCTTACCCATAGACTGTACCTATCTAAAGAAATGGATTCCCTCACATCTCCATAATCTAACACACTCTTTAATACATAGTGGATGGTCAATAAAGCTTTGTTGAGTAAGTTAATTAGCTAATAGATGAGTTAAGATAAACACATTTGTTTTCTGAGATTTATAATGGAGGAAACATATTTACGAAAGACAGTATAACCACCTCTTAAAATGTAGTGATCTGTCCTGTTAGACAAAAAGGAATACATTTAATTAACTTGACTCATTTACTATTCTCAGCAATGAAGCAACTGTAATTTTGCTGAAAATTATAGTTAAACTGCTATGAGAGGCATTTTTTGAGAGTGCCTAAAACAAGAGATGAAGACATTAAAAATATCATATTCATAAAAACCAGAGATGGGGCAGGTTAAATTTACAGAGAAAATAACATCTTTGTTTTGTTGACATCTAATGGCATGTGATTTCTGTGATTCACTCATTTGAGTCATAGAATGAATAGAATTGAGTCATAGAATGAATTGAGCATCCAGATTTGTTGTACATGAAGATGAGCCATCATGAGCTTTAATAAGAAACTGAATTGTCAAGATAGTTTTAAAAATCGGTATGGGGCCTCCCTGGTGGCTTGACGAGGAGTTAAGTCTCAGCACTATCAAGCTATCAGCAGCCACTGCAGCATGAGTTCGATCCCCAGCCAGGGAGCTAACTGACCCACATGGTGCAGCAGACCTCTCCGATCTTGCCCGCTTCTCCCCTCAGCAGTGTATTTCAGTAGAGCCACCTGCTCTGCTGCCTGCTCTGTCTCTGATGAATCCTCTTACCCTCTCGCCTGCACCCCCTACATTCTTGTATGCATAAATAAATAAAAATAAATCTTAAAAAAATCAGGGCCTTCCTGCTGGTGCAAGGGGTTGGGATGCATCCTATGAGGCTGTCCATAGCCACGGCAGCATGAGTTCGATCCCTGGCCAGGGAGCTACCCACATGGCGCAGCAGACCTCTCCTGACTTACCCACAGCTCCCCTCAGCAGTGTATTTCAGTCAATCTGCCTGCTGTGCCTCCCACTCTGTCTCTGGTGAATCCTCTCACCGGCCACACCTCTGGCCTGTTATATGCATTATATAGTCATATCATTATATGGTCATTATATGCATTATATGGTCATTATATGGTCATACCATTATTCAAACAAGTGATTTCATAACTTGTCTCAGTAGAGTGTTAGTAGAATGAGAGGAATAATTTCACTAAATTAGCTGTTGCTCGAATCTTGCCTTGGTCTTTTACCATGTAGGTAGTTACTTCTGGAACCACAGGTGACACCATATTTATTGTGCATGTTCACTTTATGTGACATCCACCAAAATGGTTAAACTTGGTACTTTGGTGATGGGCATGGTGCAGTAATACACATCTAAAGAAGTGTGAACTTACACTCCTTGATCCTATGCAATGTTGTAAACCAGTGTTTCCTCAGTTTTAAAAATTGATACAATTAAAATATTAAAATCTATTTTAAAACAAAATTTTTAAAAAATTCAATTTATCACTAGCCTGTTTTGTCTCATTTCCACCAAAACAAGTAAATGTGCTGAATTTTTTTCACATGCACAGTTTTTATTTTTATTTTAATAATTGTACATTGTACAGTTTTTTCCGTGATTGGGATCTTATTTCTACTCTCCTGACATTTTTTACTTCCTACCTCCACCACCCTCTTTAATTACAGGAATCAAAATTAAAAATTTGACTTAACTGTTAAAATTGAAATTTCTTTTAATATTTTGATCTGCAGTGTTTGAGACTATAGAGCAGAGAGGGGCAATTACCTTGAGGAGAATGGTTTCTAGTGGAAATTTATAACAATCTCTTTTGGGAAATTGCACTTTATCAGGGAGATAGAAATTAATTCAGGGTGTCTCTCTTCAGAAATTCTTTGCCATTACTTTCCCTTTCTTATTATCTCTGCTTTTCTGAAAAAGAGAGCATGGAATAGTGAATGGAATATAGGTTTTGGGTTCTGAAATGCCAGGATTTGAATTTTGACCCTGGAACAGACTTAGGGTGTATGAGTCAGGACAAATTTTATTCTTCCTGGGCCTCACTTATTTCATGTAGGAAATGATTAGTGTCATTTTGAAGAGCAAATGAAATAACTAATTACAGCAGGATTAAAAGTGGAATGAATTAACCCATAAGGAGATGTTTACTTTGTAGTTGAAGACTATAGGGTGTGACAATGATGAAGTGACTTTGAATCCATTAAGTCTCTTAGGCTAAAGAAATCCATTGCTTTATAATCACCTCTAGTTTTCGTATATGCATTTGGATATAGTTTTAGCTGTTGCAAACACTTGATCTAATTCAACAAGACAATATTCAGCAGATACAAAACCCTGTAATTAAATTTTTTAAAATCAGTTTCATGAGTATAAAATGGAAGGCTTGTCAACAGTGCAAATAAGCAAAGATCTGGAAGTTTTAGATGATGTTGTATTTCTGTATTTATCTACCAAATATATATTTTCGGTGCACGTTATGCCTTTATATTCAGTGTTGAAGATGGAGCAGTAAACAAAACAGGCCGGAATTCCTACCTTCATAAAATTTATTTTTTTAAGGTTCATTTTTTTATTTATTTATGCGGCGGGGGTGGGGGTCGTGGTGGTAAGAGGATTCATTAGAGACAGATTGGAGAACACAACAGGCAGATCTACTGGAAACACGCTGCTGAGGGGAGCAGCGGATGAGACAGAAGAGGTCTGCTGCACTATGTAGGTTAGCTCCCTGGCCGAGGATGGCCATAGCTTGATAGATAACTGATAGATAACTTGATAACTGCAGTGGCTGGTCATAGCTTGATCGAGCTGAGACTAAAACCCCTGCGCCACCAGGGAGGCCCCATAGAACCTCTTTTCTAACTGGTCATAAACTCAGTTCACAACCAATCCAATGAAATTGAGAGGAAGGACAAATTCCCTTTTATGTTGCAGTTTCCATCTATTATACATCAAGGCACCTATGGATTTAAGCTGATTGAACTCATTTCCTTTCTTATGGTTATTTTTGGTGCTATAAATTAAAAGGGATGTTGATAAGTTGGACTGTTTTGGGAAGACAATGCCATGAGTTTTATGAAACCATGATGTGTCATGAGAAAGAGGGAAGGAATTAATTGGTTATGTCTAGTGAACTAAAGAGTAGAGGAAATGATAGCTGATCTCAAGCATTTGATGGACTGTTTCAAAGGAGAGGCGAACTGACTCTACATGGTTTCAAATGTAGGTCTGCCTAGCCAAAGAGCAGCTGCATTTTAAGTAGATTTCAGTTCAAATTCAGAGCAGAGAATTTTTTAATTACAGGAGTTATTTTGTGGACAAGAGGTTATCAAGATACAAGAGGTCACCAACTTCCTTCTTGCTGAAGGTAACTCAGCAGAAGTCGGTAGAACAGTGTCAGGATCTTTGCCCAGTGGCAGAAAGTGATTTGGTTTTTCAACTCTGTGTTATTTTTGCTCTATAGTTAACCCTTGCAAGAATTTATAGTCAAATAAGCCCAAAGCCTATATATTTCTAGTGACAATATCTCTATGGGTTTCTGTCCTTTGAAGTTTTTTATAATTTTGTAAACATGCGCTGTAATGAGGTCTTTCTTAATTATTAGCCATCTTTAAGAAACATTTACTTAGTATATGGATTTCACTTTTTTTTTAAATGGTGATTCCTTGGAGATTTGCCTGTATAAATCTATTTTCTTGTCAGGATTGGAGATGACAGGTTATTTTAATGTCCAAATATTCATTTCTATGGCATATCTATATATTTCATCAGTCAACCCTCTGTGAATTTTCCAGATTTCGATTAGCTTGTCCTAAACCCCTGGCAAGCTAAATTTCTCTAACAGTCTTCAATGCGTTGCATTAAATGCCTGTTCAGCCTTGGAAGATATATTGATTTTTTTCACAGCAAAGTGACAAATACCATTTTCATGACTATAATAGAGATTGATTACGTTTTATGGAACACAGAGGGAGAGCTGATCATAGTGAGACAACCTTGGGGCTTACAAACTTGAAAAAAAATCATTTGAATTAATAATGAAATTAATGAATTCATCTGTTGCTGATGAAGTAGAAGTATTTTAAGAAAAAAAAATGAAAAGTTCTTTAGCTACACAAGCACTCTGAATTAAGACTAATTTCAATATGTTGGAGGTGCTGGTTTTATAAAACCTTTTAAAAAGTTAATAGTAATTGTTTTCAAAGCTAATACTGTCACATTAACTCTGACACAGCCTACGTGGTAGGTGATAATAATTAGACTGAAAGATGTTTTTCAATTAAATCAGGACAAATCTTAATCATGATTGATGTCAACTAAATCTGAAATATTAAGAAGTCTATGGGGAGCAGCCTGGATTCTGATATGATTTATGTAGTCTAAATTTAAAGTTGAATTGGTTTCTTTTTCATTCTAAACATTTTACAGCTGGGCCTAAACTAGAATACTTAATGTTATATGCTTTTATTATTCTGCCTTGCTTTGGAATAATAACTTTTACCATATATAATCTAAAAGGTATTTTATTTTATTTTTTTTTAAGTTTTTTTTTTTTTTTTTTTTTAATTTATACATACAAGCACTGGGTACAGTCAGAAGCGCAGGAGGGTGAGAGAATTCACCAGAGCCAGAGCGGGGAGCAGAGCAGGCAGAAGGACTGAAGTACACTGCTGAGGGGAGCAGCGGGTGGCAGGAGAGATCTGCTCGCCATGTGGGACCCTCCTCAGGTGGCTGGGGAGCAGCCGGGGATCGAACCGGTGCTGCAGAGGCTGCGGGCAGCTTAGCAACCCAGCGCTCAACCGCTGCGCCACCCGGGAGGCCCTAAAAGGTATTTTAACAGGCAACAAAGAAACATATACATGTCACAAACTTAATGTGCCAATAAAGACTCATAATTCTTTCTTATCTTTTTAGCCTTACCTACCTCTCTTTAAGCTCTAGTCAAGTCATTGTTGAATCACATGTTCTCTCAAATTAGGTTGTAGATTCTTCTATTTCCATACTTTCCACCTGGAAAACCAATTCATTCCTCTCCATCTCTATCTTTATCTTATCTCTGTTATCCTAAGTCAATCCTCCCTCTTAAATAAAGACTTCTATATCTTCATCCTACAGTGCTCCACTTATGCAGCATTATTCACGTTAGGTGTTTGGCACTTATGGTTTAGTGCTGTTGCTTATGTTTCTTGTGTAATTCTTCTGTGTCTCGCCGAGAGCCTTCCACTTAATCAACACCGTAAAAATGTGTTGGTTGGTTGGTTGGTTGAGTGAGTGAGTGAGTGAGTGAGTGATAATGTAATTAGACTACCAGGGAGCAGGTCAAACACTGTACTTCAACCCCATGAAGCCACTTCTTGACATTTTATAACTTGTTCTGGTCCTGAGAGTCTCTCACTTCAAATTGAATTGCTTGTTTGGTGCATAAAACAAAAGCTAAAGCTTACCATATTGGGTCTATTAAGTGCATATTTAAATCACTCCACATGAAGTGCTTGAGAAAGTTCATCTGTATCAAAGTTAGAGATTTAAAATTTTTATTTGAAAAATCTAATAACGCCATACATTTTTCTCCCCAGTAGTTCTTTATATCGCTAAAGGTCCAGCTTGCTCAGCTTTCTTAAATGGGTTTGGTTTTCTTAAAAGAAAAATGTTTTTAAGGTCAAAATAATTTCTTATCAGTAGCTACAACATAACATTGTAGTGAGATCATAGAATAAATGTAGCATTTGTCACAGGTGCAGAACCTTAAGTACATTGATTACTGTGCTATATAGAAGCCAATTAGCTGGAGTATAAGCTGGCACTATGTTCATATAAATTGAGACATACTTCATGCTACTAAAAATGAGAATTTACTGAGAATGAAAACTGGAACTAACTTATTTGCCAATGTTATTCAAGATAGTTTCAAGAACTCCTGGTTTGAAAAAAAAAATACATCTAACCCTATTCGATGACAAAAGTAAACTTACATTATTTTGATGTTTTTTTAAGTTTGAAAAGCAAGTGCTTGGTAAGTCACCTTGGAAAAATCGAGGTGATTAATTGGTCATTTTCCTGGACTAAAAACATCTTGACAAATAAAAAGACGGACATATAGTCCTTTCTGTTAAAACCACAGTTTAGGGCATTAGTGGACTGTCTTTGGCCAGGCTGGTCCCCTGTGGGTTTGACTGTGGTGGAGCAGGTGTGCGCTTCCAAAGTGTCTTCACAAGTGTCTCAGTGGGGCTCTCCTCCCACGCCTCCACGGGAGACAGCTCATCTGTTTAATCCTTATGTTTTAGTCAACCTTTCTTATTATGCAGACAGGGCTCTGCAGCTCAGCTGGATTTTGACTCTCCGAATGAATTGATGGGGTTCTTTGATCTTAACTGTGTATCGCATCTGTTTCATCTTTCCCTTCATGCATGGTGTTCCAAACTCCAATTCTAGTTGGTGTTCTTAAAATGGTTAATTATAAAAACAAATAAAAATTGTTATTTAAGGCTCAGATACAAACTCCACTTTTCATCTTTGACTTCTTTTTCAGTCATAGCAAACTTTCTTCAATTGAATTATGTCACCCTGTAAGGGACCACAAGCCTGGATATTATTTAACCATGTGTACGATTGTGTGTGTGTTTTGTTGGATCAGATTTGTAAAGAAAATAAGAATGATTTATCTTTACATCTCAATAATTGTATGAAAGCATAACATCTTGTTAACAGATCATATCAAAACAAAAGGCATACAGACCTACCTAGAAAAATTATCCTTGGACCATACAGATCTTGTTAAACAATATTCCTCTTTTTGATGGAGTGAAAACTGATCTATGCAGATAACCTAGCATTCTTGGTTGTAGGATGCTAAAATAGCATTATTGCTTTTGTGCATATCTTTACAATGAAATACACGTGTTCTGGTATGAGATGGGAGTGGAGAGGTATTGAAGGAACAGCAGGGATTGTTTGCTTATCCACATTAGAGCATATAAAGTTATGATTAATTGAACCAGAAAATATCAAGTTTTTATCTGAGTAACCTTTGATATTCTAATCTGGTATTTTGAAGTCTTGTATTAATTCCATTTATTTTTAATTCCTCATGAATCTTCATTTATCTTTAAGTATACCATGACCCAGTGATGATAATGTCATGTCGAAGCTGTCAGAATAATTTCAGCTGAGCAAAATTCTGATGTTTCCTAAGAGCCAGAGGCATTTGAGAGCGTTATGAAAAGATATTTCTCCAAGAAGAGGAGTATTGTGGTATTGACTTAATGGTCTGTTAAACATACACCTTATCTTGACATATGTGTCCATGCATATGTATACATGTATATATATGTGTGTATGCATGTAAGTTATTATAGTGTATATACATACATCATGTGTATGCATTTATGTGTATACACTAAATATACTAATAACTTAATTATCAGCATATACATTTTCCAAGCTCGCACATGGCACTGACCTCTGAACCAGGGAAATTGTTATCACTAATTTGTGCTTCCTATATGGAATCTGAGAATAACTGCAGGAAGGAAGTAGGAAAGGTTACCAGCCCTTCTCCTGTGTAACTGGACCTGTGCAATCTAGACCCCTGTGTTGTTGAGGGTCAGCTATTCTTCATTTATGTCACATGACTTTATTTGCTTTAGTTTCTTATCAAACACACCTAATTGCTATGTTGCTTCTATAAAATTAAAATAAAAATGCCTACACCTTTAACCTGATCCTGTGCTGCTTGAACTTCTAAAATGTAGGATTTAGCCTTGCCTACAAGAAAAGGATCAACACAAATGAAAACTCTCACTTTATTTCTACGCTTTTCTGTGATTTACAAATATTTAAAAGTTCCACTTTACATTAAAATAATATTCCTCTGGTTCACTGATGTAACCCCCCAATGCAATGCTGCTTCCTATGTAAGAATGTCTTTAAAAGATATTAACTTGCTACCTGCCTGTTTCCTTGCATTCATCAATTCTGACCCATATTCATCCTTCACTTATTTTTTGATTATTTCCTAATAGTAATTGGGTAATTAATCTGACCTCAATTATTTCACCTGGATGTGAAAGGTGATCTTTCATTATCCCCAGAGAAGGAAGGGGAAAAGACATTTATATTGGGTGTGGAGATGGAAATATGATTTCTAACTGTTAACTGCCTCTGAAATGTGCTTGTACCCTTTGCTCTATGATCACCACAGGGTAGGCTCAATTCTTGAACATCTCTTGCTCACATAGACTTCCAAAGAACCAGCCTAAGCTCCCAGAAGTAGCCAAAGACTGAGTTACATTCAACTCAAAGGTTTGGATGACCCATTAGTGGATCATTGTACCAACTTAATAGAACACAACCAGCATTCAAAGGGGGAAAAAAAGCAAGAGAATAGAAAATATCAGAGTACATTACAACATCCGTGAACAATCTTTTTAAGAAATTGAGTTTGAGTACTTGGTTATACTGTGAATATTTACTTTGAATCTCAGTCAAAAAGAAAAATAGAGTGCAAAATGAAATGAATTGGGGCAAATCATTTCTAGTAACTTTTTGCTTGGATGATAGATTTTAGAAATTAAAGTTTTATTTTATCATTTTCAAATTCTATTATTTTTCCCACCAACTGTCCTCAAATAACCACAGAAATGAGCTCTTAGCAATAGAAATAATGGAAGCTTAGCAGATGTTTCCAGAATTGTTAAGAGCTGGGTGGTATTAGCTTACTGCGGGTATAATATGCTTTCTGTGGGTATAATATGCTTTCTGATTAAGCTAGTTAGCTTTAAGCAGTTGTTTTAGAAACAGATGTGAATATTTAGTTACACTAGAGAAGCAAAGAGATGATAAAGGATCTTGGTCAATACCTTACTTTGGGCCAAGCAGAATGATTATAAACCGTAACTATGTAATTGCATTATGGCAAGAAAGGAAATAATAGTCATTATGCTTTTAAAATATCTCAAGGTCAAAATCTTTGCTTTCTACATAAAAAAATTTTTGTAAGTGTGATCCTTCCTTCCATTGTGAATGAGATAATTGGATTTTTTCCCTTGCCTTTATATCTACCAGGAGTTAACATAGGGAGGAAAGTAGTCATTCTTTTATTGTACCCTTGCATTTTATTTCAGGACTGAGAAATGTTTAAGTGCTATTCATCATGATACTCACGAGAAAGAGAGAAGGACAAAACTGATAACTGGTTTGTACATGTAATTCTATAATTTGATATTCACTGTGGTCCTTACCAAGCATCTCATTCTTACCTGCTGTTACGTTCACGGCGGTGTGTGACCTTGGTACCCCGCCACCAGCAACAGCACTTCAGATCTTGTTATAAATGTGCAATATCATGTTCCACCCCAGACCTCCTGTATCAAAATATGCTTTTTAACAAGATTCCCCAAGTGATTTCCATGAACATCAACATTTAAGAAGTACTGGCCTAGCAGATAAGCATTACTGTCTGCTGTATGGACCTGTAGCCATTTCATGGATAGCATTTGCCCTGGAAAACAAAAATTAGCAAGGGGGAAGGACCAACCACTTTTCAGACCTCATTCACTGTGATTGACCATTTAATGGTGTTTAAAATTAATGATGATACTGATGCTGAGAGCATCAAGACAAGAGCGCCCTTATCAAGTGCTTCCAAGCTTTGGCCATTGTATCTAGTACCTCTACCAACCCACTTAACAATCATCTTTCCCTATGAGTTCCATGCTATTTTACAGACTGGAAATAGAGACTTTGGATTGCCAAAGATCAGCCCATTGTCAATCCAGGCATTCTGATGCATAACATCTGCAATGGGCAGTTGTACCTGTTAAAAGTAAG